TGACGTTCCATCAAAATTTTTCTTTATATTCCATCTTTCTCCATACAAGTTGATAAATTCCTTCTCACAAACACTACCTGCTACCCTGATAGTCAATATCTCGGAATTTCCTTGTGCAAAAGTAACGATTTACATTGGATTTGAATCGCTGGAGAATAAATTCAATTGGAAAAATGTTCTTAGGGAGTTCATTCCACATAACCGCAGTTCTCCAAATGAATAAGTTCTTGAACAATCAAGTTCGAGGTGTACTGAGTTGAACCTCAAAACCATGAGCAGCCACACTCCGACGCGTATTTCTGATAATTTCGACAAAAATATACATTTCAAAACTCGTACGTACGCCACTGGCAGAGAAAATTAAGAAAATTGTACATCAGAAAATGCGCCTTGAGGTATGGAACATATTTACCAAATATGCCAAAGATGTCTACAAAAGTATCTCAGTTATTATTAAAAAACTGATTATTTTTGAAAACTTTGCCACCCTGTATCTCAAAAGTTAAGGCGTCTAGGACATACGTCCATAGGACGTTTTTTCCTTAAAATGGGTCTAAGAATTACCTCCTTCAATATTAGCATGTGTTTAAGGAACACCCTATATACCGCTTCTGGTGCAATCAAATGTGCCAAGTTTCTAATAAAGGGACAAGTATTCAACCTTTCTTCGATGTTCCAGACTATCAAGGTTGCAAGTGATGTTTGCGTCTCCAGTCAGGCAGACGGCTCTTTTCTAGATGGAATGCAGTAACTTCAGGGTATTTTTGGGGGCAGAGCTATACATACATAAGAACAATACTCCAAAGAAGGTCTGATCTGAGCTTTATCAAGAGCTGCTGAGGTGTGAATATTTTTCTGGTTCGGAACAGTACTCCAAGCTTTTGAGAGGCGGCTTCAACAATTCCAGAGACATGAGTGTGCCAAAATATTTGGTGTGCATTTCAACATCCCACAAACTTATCGAAAGAGAAAGTGGAATTGTCTGACCTAACATTATTATATCCGGTTCGGAGACATTTATCTCTTTGGAGAAAACCAATGTCTGGATTTTTGTGGAATTGAATTGGATCTGGTTACTTCCACCCCAATTCGAAATTACTTCCAGATCCTCATTGAGATATGCAACATCCTGCTGCCGATGAAGATGTGCATCCGTTGCCGATGTCCTGGAATCCAAATGGAATGACGAAACAAGTGTGTTGTCAGCTAGGCACTACAATAAGTCGTTGATATACAATAAAAAGAGAGATGAAGACGATATGATTCCTGGGAACACAAGCGTTGATGGTAAAAGTATTCAAGAGGTATCCATCAAAGGTCACTTGCAGGAAATGTTCTTTCAGAAAGCTGAAGAGCCATGCACAAAAATGATTCGACAAGCCATAGCATGAAAGTTTGGCCAGCAAACCCTCATGGCCACACATGGTCAAAGGTCTCAGAAATATCAAGTGCAACAGCTTTTGACTCTCCATGTTTCTCGATTGCGTTATTCCAAATATGGGTGACATACAATAGAAGGTTGCTTGTTGATCTTTGTTTACGAAAGCCATATTGATGATCGCTCAAAATATTGAAGCCTGAAAAATATCTAAGAGTATTGTGGTTTTTGTAAGACAAGTTGAAAAGTCTACTGGTGCGAGTTCATTTGCGCACTTTTTAAGTTCGATGACGGGCACTTCATCAGGACCAGACGCCTTGTTGATATTGAGCTGTTTCAGAATTTGCCTGACTAGAGCATTGTCGAGCATTGTCCGGCATTGTGGATTCCACTGTGGGAATAGTGGGTGGTACCTTTCCCAGGAAATTGACTGTGGAGTGCGACGCAAATTGTTCAGCTACTAGATATGCTCTTTCTATTGCAATTGAACCATCCTCAGTTTGCAGCTGTTGCGGGCATTAACAAACCTAGTTCGGTTTTCGGCACTGGGCGAGATTTTTGGAGGCGACAGGTTTGTTGTTAAAAGTTCGTTTAATTGAAAACCATAGATGATAGAATAACTTCCGTGATTTCAGAAGCAGAATCTCAATAACTGAAACAAACATCCAGCCAGGGAAAATTTCGGAAATGGTCCTGAAGATTCTCCCACTCAACAGATCTGTAATTCCAAACTTTACGCGGCTTAGATTGTACCCCAACATTTATCGGTAATTCACTCAACACTGGAATTAGTTTGTGGTCAGAAGATCCCAATAGAGATCTTACGGTGAATTTCTAGATTGGTTGTTAGATATAGATCCAGAAGACTAGCATATTCTTCATCACGGTTAGGAATCCTGGTTGGCTCATTCAAAATCTGAGTAAGTCCGTTGCTTATTGCAAAAGCCTCAGTTCGCAGGCAGACCTCAGTGACCTCAGCTACTCCTTCTTGAACCTTCAAATTTGAAATACAATATTGGTTACAATTCCACTTATTATTGCTTTGACTCCTTACGTTCCCAAGAAATTTTCTCATTCCATCAGCCGTTGATTTCGCTTGCATAAAGCTTGATATATCGTTCACAGCTTCTCTGCTTTCTCCACTGAGAACCTTGTTATTCAGTTTACTATTCGAAGAAATTTTCCAGAGACACAAATAACTCACAGTTCACCACACAGAATAATTTCTTCACTTACTGTACTAACACGATATTCACTACACAAGTTCCTTGATGTTAATGAGCTCTCGTCACACTTCACCGGCTGATCTACTCCCCATCTAACATTCAGAGTTCGATTATTTATGTTTTCACTTCATTCATATCAATGAAATGTATGTTTGACTTTTATTTCTTCATTTGCCATCAGAAATATATACAATTACGATAACAGTTATTCAATCTAATTCAGCAAATAGATCGGTTTGATGTTCATAAAAGTTATAACTTTGTGCATGAGCAAGTTAACTAATCTATCAATGATTGTTGTAAAATTGGAGATATAAAATGTGAAATGTAAACATCAAAATTTGTATAGATATAAAATTCAAAATATATAAATGTAAAATATTAATATCTTGAGACGTTCAAACATAAAATTTTAAATAAGAAGGTTGCTTGTTGATCTTTGTTTACGAAAGCCATATTGATGATCGCTCAAAATATTGAAGCCTGAAAAATATCTAAGAATATTGTGGTTTTTGTAAGACAACTTGAAAAGTCTACTGGTGCGAGTTCATTTGCGCACTTTTCAAGTTCGATGACGGGCACTTCATCAGGACCAGACGCCTTGTTGATATTGAGCTGTTTCAGAATTTGACTGACTAGAAGTTGCCGAGCATTGTCCGGCATTGTGGATTCCACTGTGGGAATAGTGGGTGGTACCTTTCCCAGGAAAATGACTGTGGAGTGCGACGCAAATTGTTCAGCTAGTAGTTATGCTCTTTCTATTGCTGTTTTTTCAATTGAACCATCCGCATGTGTTAGTGGTGAAATTGTGGATTTTGACAAGTTTTTATTAACAGCTTTAGCTAACGACCAGAAGGATCTAGACCATTGGCAGGCACTGTGCCCCCAATTCTCTGATTGAGAAGTTCTTTGCTTTCGTTTATCTTCAGTTTTGCAGCTGTTGCGGGCATTAACAAACCTAGTTCGGTTTTCGGCACTGGGCGAGATTTTTGGAGGTCCTGAAGATTCTCCCACTCAACAGATCTGTAATTCCAAACTTTATGCGGCTTAGATTGTACCCTAACATTTGTCGGTAATTCACTCAACACTGGAATTAGTTTGTGGTCAGAAGATCCCAATGGAGATCTTACGGTGACTGTGTGAATTTCTATATTGGTTGTTAGATATAGGTCCAGAAGACTAACATGTGAAATTATATTTCGACCTAATAAGTAGATAATATATAATATGAAAAGAATGCCTAAATATCTGTAAAGTTTGCATTAAATACTGTTTAATGCAAACTTTATGACTAATTGAAGAATTTTGAAAAGAGAATAATTTCTATAATTATATGTATCCAATGGAATTCGAGCTCTCGATACTTAACTTATCATCACTTATATACGGGGTGACCAATAGATATGTGACAGACCAAACTTATTGTTTTCTTTTAATAGAATACTCTTTTCACTCGATTGAATTTCTTGAGCAAAATGCTTTTCAGATATATAGGATTGTTTGGGTTTTAACGAGGTCGTTCAGAAGTTATAGTGAAATTCATGTTAAAAAATGGGTTCATTCAATACCAAACTTCAAGCAAATATTCTTGAAAATAGTTCATTTTCATTTCTTCTTCAGAAGTTCATCAAAAATCGCCTTTGCTAAACAGGGGTAAACGAAACTCGGTATCACTTTTTTCAAATGGAACACTCTGTACATAGGACCATCCCAGAATAGTCCAGACTGTGAGCTATCAGAAAATATGGAGATTGACCCATATTAAAGCATAGAGTTCACCAATAATAAATGAGCTATAAATGCATTGATGACAATGTTGAAGTTTCAAAAGACGTTTTGCTGCAAATGTAAATAATAACTCGCTTGCCAACTTCAGACAAGTGAAATGTCACACCAAAAAAGCTTTAGTTTTGTTTGCACTAGTGATAAAACACACTGAACCATTTTGATCTCGAAAACCGAACGTTAAATGCCCTTTCAAAAGAAGTGAACTCTAAGAATACTAAATCACGACTAATACCCTTCGATTTATCTTACTATAAGTTCACCATACTTCAGTCGTCACTCGGCGATTTGAGTGAGGGTTCCCTTGTGCTGAGCTAGCATTCAATACAGACTTCGTAGTTCATTATCATTAAAGTAGAAATTTCCCAGAATGTGAAACTGTAAGTTCTTTACAGTATGAAAATAGATAACTGGAGAGTTCAATATTCAATTCTTCAATATGATATCTCTGAATCAGGTAGTCATCCAGAAACAGACCTATTTATTTGAAAAACATTGACGTTGAAACATTTTTCAAAATAGCACTCACAGCATTCGCTAGAAAAAAAAAATATAATTTTACTTCCCAGACACCGTTATCATTTTTTCTGATAATAGCTCTGTTGTTTCAGGTGGCGGTATCAAATGCGCACAACGTCACATTGATGTCAGTGGGACGTAACACTTCGGGACTATTTCAGTGTGAAGTGTCAGCTGATGCGCCGTTATTTCATACCCAGATATTGTCAGCGCCGATGACAGTTGCTGGTAAGTGGTGATCATTTTTGCAGTCCCCATTAGTCCAGTCATCTTAGTAAGTTCTGATAATTAGAGATGCCTAGCTATAAAGTCGCATGAACTTGTATTTCGACATACCAAAAGTTGTCCTACTATAGGATGTACGTGCCTATTGAAATCTAATGTCAAAGGTAACAAAAATCGATTTTGGCACATTTTTTGCAGATATCTCGTTTCCTATGGGTTTTTTTATTTGTATTCATTATCAACCTTATGGTGGATTGAATTCCCTAAAACTTTTGTTAAGAGCATCATTCAAGGTCAACCGGTAGTTCTGGTATAAACACATCATATAGAGTTCATTAACTATTGATAAATACATCATTATTGATAATTTCAGTTCCTTATTGACTATTACATGGCATTCAATCTTTGTTTTGCTAATGCATCAATTTTTAATTCTGTATCAATTCATTCAATAACACTAACCTACCCTTGTGATTCTAGACATGTTGAGGAAAATAAATATTCCAATTCTAATTCAACTTCTCGAATTGATAAAAAAACAACCAAAAAATTCCTTAATTGAAATATACACATGGTGGTGGAAATTGAAAATCTTAATAGAAATTACAAACACTACAACTCAAAATTTCAATTATCTTCTTCTTCATCGCTGTCTTCCGACCGCCGTAGTATTCCAAAGCTTTTTTCTTTATCGTCTTCAACGAAATTTGTATCCAGTTTTTCCATGGAGCCATTACTCTGGAGCAGGTGCGAAAATTGTCGTGATAGGTTCCAGGAAATCGTTACGCGTTGTCCAAATCCATTTCTGGAGTTCCAAATCATGCATACTCTAACCAAGTTGAAGGAACCTATGCGACTGTACTTCAAGCGAAAATTTACGCTGTGGAATTGTGTGCTGAGAGACTGAAAGAATCCAACCTCATACACAAGTCAATCAAAATATTCTCAGACAATCAAGCGGCGTTGAAAGCTCTTGGCTCCTACCGAGCAACGTCTAAATTGGTAGCAAATTGCCAAAAACGACTCTCCTTGATAGGAAGACTCAACAGATTTTCTCTGGTCTGGATTCCTGGCCATACTGGCCTAGATGGCAATAAGGCTGCAAGCAGGTTCATCGGACCAGAACGCGTCATTGGCATTGCTTTAGGCTTTGCCAAAGTTTGAACATCTGGATGGCAAGAAGATTTATGGACTTCTGGCAGAATCTTTCAGGATTGGCTCACTCCAAGGCGTTTATTCACCATTCAAAGCTTGATACCAAACAGCTGTAAGACTACAGTAGGGATGAACTACGATGTCTAACAGGCCTTCTTACAGGTCACTCTCATTTCAATCATAGGGTACGGCAGAGCCGTACTCTTACGATTGTTACGTTTCAATTTAGCACTAGATCAAAACTGCTCCTATGTGACCTTTCAAAACACTACCTTACCTTTTGAGATCTTTATTCAGAGGATGTTAACAATGTTATTCAGTTACAAGGTGATTTTATTCATTTAACATCATAGTAATGGGAATCTTCCGTTCCATAGAAAACCATACCTGAAATGTACAAGAATATATGTATGCTCCCTGACTAACTGCTTTGATCAGTACTTACCACTCTCTTCGCATTCTCCTATTGCCAATCAACGTTGGAGATCCAAAATTCCTCGCTAGGTTCATTTTTCAGCCGTTGTCTGCCTTATTCTCTATACCTTTACAAGAATATTTTTTTGCATAGAGTGTTATTCATCAGTTCCAGAAGGAGTACTACATATTAGAGCCATATCGTCTGAAAAACAATAATAGTTAGCTCTGGATTTCTGAATATTGTTTGATATTTTCGGTAAATATTCTGCTTAATATGAATGTTCAAATATTTGTACTGAATGGGAAAGATGTGGTCACTTACCTTATATGTGTCTATTCCATGGCATGAATAAGGATCGGTAAATAGTTGAAAATAGGTTGAAGTCAATATTTTTGTAAACATTCAATAACAAGGTTAAGACACAGCTGTTGGTTGAAATCTACCAAACTACCAAAATCTACCAAACTTTCGTAGCGTCGTTCCAACGACCTACACCGAACTAGTTCTATAGTCGTTCATGGGCGAGGTATTGATCGGTTACTCAAATTGTTTTAGGGTTGCATTGCTGGGAGATGGATGTTGATGGGTCATGTACTTGTTGGTACATGGTAATCTCTCGGATTTCGGTGTTGACCTTCGTTGAGCTTGGTTGAGAGTTCAAGGGTACCATCTGACTGATTTGTAGGATATATTTGGTTGTATTTTTGCCATCCTTCACGGGGATTATTTCTACAAGTCAGGATTATATAGTGAAAGACTGATTGGTTAGTTTGGTGTGTATATTTGCAGTCTGAAACTCTTTTGAGGATTTGTGGTGGTTACCGAACTCATTGTGCCAGGTGGAAGGATTTCCTAAATCAGATTCATAAGAAACAGAAGGCCTTTAGTCACTCATCAAGTCCCAGTAGGACTTCCGTGCAGAGCACCGCACACGAAGAAACCTATAGAAAACCCCTTGGCCAGGGTATTTTTTCTGGGGTGTAGAATACCTTGTTGACAAATTCTCCGGACTTGGAGGTGTTCAGCTACCTTTGGGGTCATATTTGGTGATCCATTTACTGATCCATCTTGTTGTGCCCTATCTTGGCGATAAGAAACAGAAGGCCTTTAGTCACTCATCAAGTCCCAGCAGGACTTTCATGCAGAGCACCGCACACGAAGAAACCTAAAGAAAACCCCTTGGCCAGAGTTTTTTTTTCTGGGGTGTAGAACACCTTGTTGACAAATTCTCCGGACTTGGAGGTATTCAGCTACCTTTGGGGTCCTATTTGGTGATCCATTACTGGTCCATCTTGTTGTGACCTATCTTGGTGGTGCTACAGGGTGATCTATCTTTGCGGTGCTACAGCGTGATCCATCTCCGCCGCACTACAGGGTGATCCACCTCCTTCGAACTACGGGGTAGCCTAACACTGGGTGGCCCAAAAGGAGCACGCAAGTTATAATTGGTTTATTTGAATATTTGTGTAATACTGAGTTATTTAAATAATTGTTTGCCCTTTGTTTATTGTTACCTGTTTGATATAGTGATTGCCTTTCTGGCTGAATTCACAGCTAGTTGGCAAAGTGTTTTATTTCATTTTTGAAACGCAAATTGAGGTGTTTTCTTCCTTTTACAATTACTTGTTGTCACCGATGCGCCTACGCTTGAGCTCACGCGACGCAAACGAGATTGTCTTACCTCCCAATACTAGTATTTACGATTTTGCCCACACCTACTCAATTTTCGTGAAAGTTTTACTTGACGTATTGTAGTTTTCTTTTAAGCGTCGTAACTACGATAATTTATGGCTGATTGAATTTGCGGTTATATACACCGCGCTCAATGACCTCTAGTATTGACATTTGAACAACGCGTGGTAGTTTGAATATCGCATTGTTGTCTTAGAAGCGTTGTCGGTTAATCCATGTGAGTTAGTTCACTGATTAAATCATATTGGGGATCTTTATCTTTTATTTCCAATATTAATTGGTAAGTTATTGATATTGTAAGTTACTTCGGGTATCTGGAGGATTAAATTTACCTGGCGCCCATTAAGATCTATTTGAAATTTGCTAATTGGTTAACCCACTCCCGTCTCCACTGTTTAGCTTAGCCGCGGATTCCTATCTGTCTTATTTGTTACCGACAGATGATTTAGTCTCCTCTTGTGGTTTGTGAGGTGACACCATCTGACCTGAAATACCACTCACCATACAAACTAATCGGCTTCGTTAAGAAGCTGGGTTCATTAGGTCGAGTGTGAATAGGTGGCACACACCCTGTGTTAATAATTATCAAAATTTCATATAAAGCCTATTGAATTTGGTTCTACTCTACAAGGGACCCGACCAAAACATAATGATAAAGGTCACCTTATAGGTCTACAAACATCATTTTTGACATAAAAACTCAAATATGTCAAAAACGGTTAGAATTAGATATAGGACGTTATACACAAACAGTATTTAGAATCTGATGTAGATTTCAATATATATGGTGTTCCATTCGAAATAACGAATTTGACACCTACTTCCGGTATAGCCGGAAGTGCCATCATCTTGAGAGTTATTTAGCCGAGTTTTGCCCCCATCGACTTCGGTATATTGTCAAAGTTTCACATTTTTTCCAGTCATAGTTTTCCCAAAATCGATCAATGCAGTTCCTGGAGATTCACCCTGTATATCTTTTCTGATTTCTGTATTCGGGCAGTTTTTGAACTTATAAAAAATTGTTCTAGGACTTTCAGTGCTGAGGTATCCATAGAAGCACAAAATATCAACTCTCAAACGAAATCATTTTCATCACTTGAATTACGACAAATTTCAATAATGATATTTCTTTCTACAATTATCAAAGACACAATGTTCAAATATATAAACAGAGTGCGCAAACAACTATACTCGTATTTTTCAGTATCGGGATTTCATTGTTGAAATCTATCGTACCTCGACAGAGCCGGCTCCCTAGTTATTAAATTTTCCATCATTTTATCGGTTTGATGGAAACACTACTCGTGAAAGAAATGGCCAAAAGACTATTAACAATTTATGTTATATTCTATAGCTATATATGATACCAGAACAAAAACAGCTATATATGAAATTATCTTTCAGATAATTTGGGCCGGTCTCTACTCACCTAAACTGTAGGTTAATAGGCTGACACCTATTAGAAAACAGCTACTTCCCTGGCTGATACCACGAAGGGCGTTGGATTGCATCCAACAAGTGTCGGTGCAGGATTCTTCACAGAAGTATATAGTGCATATGCTGTTGACGATTCAACTGCCAGAATCGATTTTCAATCACTGGTTTCGAGCTATTGGGCCTCTCGCCAGTGCAAGATAGTGTCCAACATCAACATGAAATTCCTTTCAGAGTATCATTTCTCGAACTAGGCTGAAGCGAACAAAATGCAACATATTTGTCATCGCCCCATCTGCCCGTA